GTGGGAAGGGCAGGGAGAGACCAGCATGGCTGAGAGCACAGTCCATGAAGCCCCTGTCCCCCTAACCCAGGTTTCAACTTCATTTCTCCTGCATGACCCAGTCTGGTCTCTTCCGCTCCCTGAGCAGGGATGTCCTCATCTATGAGTGGGTGCAAGGCTGAGCTGCCCTCAGAGACACGGAGGAAGGGGCTCAGCAGGTGACATGCACAGCCCAGCTGTGGCCCGTGTACCAACCCAGCAGGCAGAGAAGGGGGGATGGGTGCAGCTCACAGCATGTAGAAGCATGGTGCCAACTGGTCACCCCTGGGAGCATGGCTTTATACTCAAGGGATAGGGATTGGTCTGAGTCACTAGGGTCTGGGGTGACAGAGATGGCCCAAGTGGGGTGCATCATGACTTTGGGGCTGTCATTCCCAGCAGACCCTGCCCCTTTGGCCTAGAAGGAGCCTGCCCAGGAAGTGCCTAATCCCAAGGTGGACAGCTGCCTCTTCAGTCACAGATACAGTGGTGCGGTCTGCAGGGAGACCTGCGTCCCCACAGACACCCACGCCCCCTCAGCACAGACTCACAGAGCCTGGCTCTACTAAGAAGGCCCACTTGATTGTTACTTAGGAGCTGTTTCTGCCCCTTCCTTTGAAAATCTTCCGCATGGGCAGCAAGTCTGGGGTAGCCTCCCAGGGAGTCGCTGGGAGCTGGATTTCTCCCCAGCCCCTCAGTAGGCTCCAGCCTAATCAGCCTCAGCCCAGAGGTCCTGATTCATAACTGGCTGTCCTGGGCTGGCATGGCCTGGACACTCAGTAAGCGCTGGAGGAGTGAACCGCCGCTGTGGTTCTGCTCTCAATCAATACTTGAAGCTATGAGCATATTAATTCCTATTCCTTGGGGGGCTTTCATGTGAATAGGAAACTCCCAAGAGATGCAGGGGAGTGTTGCCAAGCACCTCTCATACATTAGCTCACTTCACCTCAACACTGCTGGGAGGCAGCATTGCCGCCCTCCTTTACAGGTGGGGAAACGGGTCCTGAGAGGATAAGGAATGTGACTAAAGTCCCATGGTAAGGACTAAGGAGCCTCAGGCCTGCCTGGCTCAGGAAGCTGAGTCCTCTCTCCTCTCCTCTCCCCTCCCCTCCCCTACTTTCCTCTCCTCTCTACCTTCCTTCCTCTTTAAATCGCCATGGGCATATACACTTGCCAGACAGAGAAGAGGTGGCAAAGGGTGGGGGAGAGAGAAAGCATCCCTCATTTGGCATGGTCACATACGATCCCTTCTCTGTTTCTCCCTCCTTTCAGGATTTTGGGCATGCACATACTCCCAGTGTGTTTTTAAGCTGCTGGGGCCAGGATTTGAACCGTGCAGCTGGCCATGTGGGACCTGGCTTCCTCAACCACTAGACTGCAGGGCCAGCCCAGGTTCTTTCTTCCTTACTCCTCTGCTCCATCAAAACCTCCAGGAGGATGCTAAGCATTCAGCTCAAAAGGTGGAATGTCAGACAGTACACAGGTGCACCAGGGAAGCCTTGGAATGGAGAATTTTCTGGGGCCTCTTGCCCCGCTAGCCCTAGATCCTAATGAGCAGCCAGTTGGCTCAAGAGGCCTGGAAAGACAGACAGGCAGACAGACAACCTCCTCTATAGGCTGTGGAGGTTACAGGAAGCTCACTCCAGAGCAGTGCCCAAGAAGTGCTTGGTGGGCCGTGCTGGAGCCCAGGCCCGGCCCAGCCCAGCTCTGCTGGGGCTGGCATCTCTCACTGAGCACCCTTTCCCCAGATCCAGAGACAGGGCTATGATTAATCAGCGACAAAAGCAGAAACAGGCAGGAAAATGTAATCAGCCTGGGAAGGGCAGGGCCGGGCAGGGCCATGCAATCAGCTTTCCTGCTGGGGCCTGTGGCTGATTGGACCAAAGGAGGCAGGGAGGTGGTTTTGATGGGGGCTTCAGGGTTGGGCCCCAGAACTGGGGCCACATCCAGGCCAGAAGCTCATTGTCCCCCATAAACATACCTGCACATCTGTGCAACCATGCCTATGTCACCCCAGCCTAAGGCCTGCACACCTCCCCTACCTGCTCACAGACCCACACCCTCCCCGCCCCTGCCAGCTCACGCCTTTGCACACGAAGGCCCCACGCACACTCCCTACACTTGCCCATCTGCATGTGGACTCGGAAACACATGTACACACAGCCGGCAGCACACACAGCCCTGGCGGATAAGATACAAGCATGCACATGCTGCTGCCTCAAACACGGGACCCCACCCCCACGTGCACATGCTCTGGGTCCTGGGGAAGCCCTGCACGCGCATTAGCCCTCAGAGAGGACCCCACAGGCACTCTGCTGCCCCGGGGGCCATGAGACGCTCCCTGGGCTCCCCTCTGCAAGCTGAATGGGAGGAGTTTGGGGAGAATCCGGGACTTGCGCCCCCCACTGTGGGGGCAAGCTCAGCTGCCATCACAGGGCAGGGAAGCCCGCCCCAGACCTGTGTCCAGCTCTGCCTGGCTGCCCCTGCCCCATGACCTTGGTCAACGTCCTTCTCTCAGCCTCAGTTTCCCCGCCGTGGAGCCTCCTGGCACCTTCACCGTGATTCTTCTTGAGGACCCCGGCGTCTGGGCCCGCCTCGTCTCTCTGGGTCTCGGGTCCTCTCTTCCCAGCTTTCAGCCCCTGGCGGAGGGTTGTGGGAGGAGGGGAGCCAAAGGGCCAAGGAAGGGCCCCACCCCAGCCCATCCCCACCCTGGTCCTGGTGGCTGCGGACTCAGGGTTCGGGGAAACCTGTGATCTGAGGGGCACAGGAGGAAAGGGGAATCGGGGGCAGAAGGCGAGGAGCCCCGGGTCAGCTTGGGGCGACCGCTCAGGGGCCGGCGGCGGGAAGGGGCAGGCGGGGGG